AACCCAAAAACGTGTATTTTACCCCCAGAAGGCAATTTTTAGCTGGGGGCCCCCCTCAAAACGGGATTGGGGTTGTTTTGAGTAGCAACTGGGCGGGTTTTGTTGTAAAAACCTGGCAAACCTGGTTAAACAGCTTAATGATGGATGCAGCTTTTCGCTTCACAAGACATTAATTGATGGGCTGCAGTTGTGTTATTGTTATGCTTTTATCAGCTGTTTGGACTCTCATTTTGACAGCACCCTGCAGGGAATCCATTGGTGAGCAAGTGATGTTATGTAATGCTAAATATCTCCAAATCTGTTAAACAAACTCACCTACATCTTGGATGGCCTTGAGGGCGAGTAGCCATTTTCAGCAAATGTTCTCTTTTGGGTGAACTGTTGCTTTAAGATTCTTTTCTCCTACACGAACTTAAAATGCACAGACCATTGAAAGTATGACATCTGTAGGTTTAAACGTCGATCTCGATGTTTTAAGGGTCTGAAATTTTGCCTCAAACAATAGCGCGAGTTTGGGGCGGGACTATCGGTTGGTTTCATTACTTTCATTAATTATTATAAATCCTAATTGGTTACAAAGTCGCTAACAAAGGACTCTATGCATTATTTCTGGGAAATGACGGGTTGTTTTTAATGCCTGCGGGTTTAAGAGACCCCAATAACATGATATTTATCCCCTAAAATGTGAATTTGAACCCAAAAACGTGTATTTTACCCCCAGAAGGCAATTTTTAGCTGGGGACCCCCCTCAAAACGGGATTGGGGTTGTTTTGAGTAGCAACTGGGCGGGTTTTGTTGTAAAAACCTGGCAAACCTGGTTAAAACAGCTTAATGATGGATGCAGCTTTTCGCTTCACGAGACATTAATTGATGGGCTGCAGTTGTGTTATTGTTATGCTTTTATCAGCTGTTTGGACTCTCATTTTGACAGCACCCTGCAGGGAATCCATTGGTGAGCAAGTGATGTTATGTAATGCTAAATATCTCCAAATCTGTTAAACAAACTCACGTAGGCCTACATCTTGGATGGCCTTGAGGGCGAGTAGCCATTTTCAGCAAATGTTCTCTTTTGGGTGAACTGTTGCTTTAAGATTCTTTTCTCCTACACGACCTTAAAATGCACAGACCATTGAAAGTATGACATCTGTAGGTTTAAACGTCAATCTCGATGTTTTAAGGGTCTGAAATTTTGCCTCAAACAATAGCGCGAGTTTGGGGCGGGACTATCGGTTGGTTTCATTACTTTCATTGATTATTATAAATCCTAATTGGTTACAAAGTCGCTAACAAAGGACTCTATGCATTATTTCTGGGAAATGAACCGTGCTTTCAGCGTTAAAGTGAACACGCTGCAGCTCAACAGGGGGCCAAAATCATAGCATATACGCATGAAGATGTGCCGTTTCCCCCTCAGAGGGCCAGACTGCATCCAAAATAGCCTTTTCAAGTAAGTTGCGCCGGGCCACGCTCTCCTCAGATCAAAGCCGAGGACAGAGAACAAGGGCCGCGTCCATTACGCGCACCTCTGGCTCCCCTCGACCTCGTCTAAACAACACTCGAGGTGCCGAGAGCCGGAACAAAGCCGTGTAAGTCGGCTATTAAAGTTTTATTGTTTTTTTTCCCCGCCTCTCTTTTCCGAGCTGTTTTTGAGTTCCAGCGATGAATTCCTCCACGTTGCATAAAAGCATAATGCAGCCCCATTTCCACAGGCTGAACTTTGTAGAATAAAAGATATATGTGTACAAAAAAGTAAGAACTCCCTGATGTTGGAGGTAGACAGTTGCTTTTCAAATCCTAGTTTTGGTCCTTTATTTTATTTAGCAGTGAAAAGCCATGAATACAGAAAAGAATGACGGCCGTTACAGTTCTCAATCGTGGCGTCTACTCTCGCAGAAATCCGTAACATATGGACACAGTACACGGTAATGAAAAGTATCAAAAAGGAGCCTCGATTCGAAGGAAACGAAACCAAACGAAGAGTCAAAAACAACCAAAAAGGTATTCACCAATTACATAAACATGTTTTTTGCTACAGTCTCAATTTACTGTATACATAGGGGATCATATTCCCGGAGAATGATAGTTATTAGAAAGGATACATGACTCAACTGCCAGACGTAATGCTTCAGAACGTATGCACAGAGGTACAAGCAATAAATACACACATTAGGAAAAGCCTTACAGCTACGCAACGCAGATGCAGGAAAAGCAGGTTTGCTATTCTTAGCAAGCAATGAGAGAACAGTAAAAATTCATGAAATTCAGGAGAAAAAAACACTGATCTTTTTAGCTTAGAAAAAAAATGTCTGGTAAATTAATGGGTCCACCAACATTTTTTTTTTTTTGTATCTTTTTACATAATATGCACAATTATCAAAATACAGACAAAATCATCCCAGAAAAAAACCCAGACAATCCTAAAATCTATTGAAGGAGACTGCCGATCTGGAGGTTCTTCTGGTATTATGTGCAAGCAACTATTTTAGACATTTTTTAAAATGTTTTTACAAAACCCATGCAAACTCTACAGGTAATATGCATTCTGTGGCTGAGTTTCTTTCGTCGATCATCATCTCCTCCCGGAAACAGTATAGCTGAGGTATGCACACTTTATGCATTTAGTCCATCAACATCATCATCATTCTGACGTTTTATTATACGTGTTTATTAATTCTTATTTCCAGTCCACCAAATGAATTTAGACATGCATTTTTTAATAACACAATATCCCCTTACAGGTATTTTTACATATTCATTCTACAAATGTTCTGAGGACAAACTAGTTCAATGCAAACCTTCCACATCTGCCTTTGGGAATGTAAACTGGCGCTTTTGGCGACGTCCTGCGTGAATCGGGAGGAAAAATGTGTCGTGGCGTTCTAACGATTCGTGCAATCTGCCATTTTTTCGCGTTGTGAAGAGGTAGAAGCCTTTTTTGGATAAGTGGGAGAACCCTTTTTGTATATTCTTATTCAAAGACGCTGCGTCCTTATATTTGGTGCCATAAAATTATTATGAATGTCATCTTCAAGTCAATTTGCTGACTCCAGCAAAGGATAAGGGATACGCTTTGTTCCTGGATCCAGCTTCGCTGTCTTATTAGTGTGTGTGTGTGTGTGTGAGAGAGAGAGAGAGAGAGAGAGAGTGTGTTGGTGTGCTAAAACTAGCAGCCAACCCTTCGGTTTGCACGAAACGGGAACAACTGCACAGTATGTTTCACACACAGAGAGAGACAAACTTTGACATTATTGGTTACAACACAAAGCAGTTATCCGTTTCAAATGGGGTTTCTGCATTAGAGAACAATCAAAGAAAGAGAGAGAGAGAGAAGAAAAGGAACCAGGCTTTGCGTTATTTTCATCTCCATCTGCTGTATAAGAAGAGGCAGAAGTCTGTATAACTTTGGTTTGACTGAAAACAGAAGCAAACTTTAAAGCAACAACCGCTTTTCCTCGATGACATCAGCAACGTTCAAATCAAAGCGTTTCACCTCAAATAAATGGTTGCTACTTATACACCATACATGGTCTAACCCATGATCCAACACCAGCTGTGTCTATATAGCCATGAATTATACAATGAGTCTGAATCAATGGAGCAAAGCAAACGTCCGCTGGAAAAGGATTCGTCCTCTTCCTGTCATGGCTCTGTTGTTTGCTTTTACAATATAACCAAGCCACATCATTTCATATCGACTTGAAATCATGACTTTTTTGGCTTCACTAGATATCTTAAAGTTTGGTTACTATATTTTCGGTTTTTCGGCTCTGAAGAAACTGACGGATATAAGACATGACACGTTGGACAGTCACAATGAACAGTACATTTCACTAGTAAAAACGATGACAAGATGGCTTACGCAAATCATAATAGCAAAAAAAAAAAAAAAAAAGTAGTAACGTTTTCTGCACTTTCACAAATGGTTGTTTTGGTCATGATCCATTTATAGCTGCTCTCTCGCTCTACCTGGACCACATGACGGTCGCTGAATCGAGGTCTTCCCGTTTTATTTGGGGTCGACCGACATCACGAGGCCAGAGCGAGCGCTCCGTCTGTCGATCAAATTACATCAAAATCATTTTCTCTTTGTACAGGGCTAAAGGAGACAATCCCAGAGGTTATTCGAAGGTAGTTAGTGGAAAAAAAATCTTCTCTTTGTACTAGTTAAAGTCACAGAAGACTGACCAAAGAGGCTGGTGGCTTCTGTCTAAGCTATTGGCCGTTGATAGTGTTGGCTTTGGTTTCTAGCTGTTGCCTGTGACTCTTTGCAGGTAGACAAAGCTTTAGAACAAGGAGGTAAAGAGACTAGAAGAATATGCAGAAACGCATCTTTTTCTTTCGTGTTTTTCCTCTCAGCAGTTGCGACCGAATCACATTTCACGTTTTCAGCAAAAACGGAGCTAGTGAGACTTGAGACCTACTTTGTGTACTTTTTTTGGACGGCTGCAACAGTCTTGATACCTTGGTTGTGTTACTGATGTGATTTTAAGAAATGCCATTTACAGTTGGTGGTGCCGCAAACATGACTCGAAATTAACGTAAGCTACGTCGTGGGAAGAACGAAACACCAATTTAGGGTGGGGGGCAAAAACAAATTAACAACAACAACAACAACGAAAAACAGCTTTTTTTCCTTTTTACATTTTTGTCGACATACAGGCAGTGACACTAATTTTTGATACTACTCATGTGCAAAAAATAACAGAGCAACAACTTGAATTGAACCAGCAATTGCATCTAACACCGACGACTAATGTGGCTTGGATATTCACAAACTTAAAACTTATTTTTTTGGCAGTATATGTGGCCGTTTGGCTTTCTACAAAACGGACTCGCTCCCATTTCACTTCTGTCTTTTTTCAGTCCGTGAGCCTCGTGTTCGTTGTGTGAGGTGGCCGAGCTGCTTCCAATGAAATCTTGTCCTTTTGTTCTTCCTTTTATGTTTGTTTTTAAACAGCAGACGTCTCATGTCTGTCCATCTGTGGTCCCTAAAGATCTGCGCTATAGATTTTCTTCGGGCCAGTCTCCAGATGCATGCTAAATAAATACTCCCGCCTGCTGCTTCCAGTCTTTTTGCGTTCGCGGTGGTTGTGGATTAGTTGAGGGGCGGGGCCTGAAAGGGGCAGAGCCCCGGCAGAGGGGTGGGGCAAAATAGTCATTCCAGATCCTCCGATAGGTTGCCCTCCTCAAGCTCCCGGTCATCATCCAGCTCAGGACTGTGATTGGCTGTGGTCACCAATGACATCGGACAGTCCTCGTCGTCCATGTTTAGTGGCTCCTCCTTGACGTGAATTGGAGGCCTGTGTAAGCGAAAAAATGATCTGAAATTTAGAGGAAGGTCTGGTCAAACACGTAAAAGATTACACTAATACTGAAAAATACAGTACAATAATATGAAATATTATTAGAACATAAAATAACTCTTCCTATTTTTTTAATATTTAAGTGTAAATTATCCCAGTGATCAAAGTTGAATTTTTAGCATCATTACTGCAGCCTTCAGTGTCACATGATCCTTCAGAAATCATTCTAATATGCTGATTTGGTGCTCAAGACACATTACTTATTATCAATGCTGAAAACAGTTGTGCTGCTTAATATTTTTGTGGAAACTGTGATTTTTTTCAGGTTTCTTTGATGAATAGAAAGTTCAAAAGTACAGCATTTAGTTGAAATATGCATTTTTTTGTAACATAAAAGTCTTTACTGTCACTTTTGATAAATTGAACGTAATTAATTAAATTTAAATTTAATTAATTTAATTAAATTGACATTTTCTGAATAGAAGTATTAATTTCTTTCAAAATCTTACTGCCCTTGAACTTCTGTATGGTAGTGTAATAATAATAATAATAATGGTCTTAATAACAACAAACAAACAAACAAATAAATAAACAAGATATTCAGGACCTAATAAAACAAGAAAAAGAGGTTTATTTTGCAATAATGACCATCTTATCCCACTTATTACTTATTAAATAAATAAATGGATATTAAATATGATTTAAGTTCAAATTATATTGTTAAATGAGAAGAAAGAGACAGGAAACTAGTACAGCTATACAGAAATGTGGTTGCCAGTATATAGTTTCCCCAGCGTTGCACAAAAAATATTTGAAAGCAAAAATGCAGCTACTGACCAATCAGAATCAAGTAAAAACCGCAACTCAACCACGCAAAAAAGATTAGACATGCGCATTCAACACAGCTTCCTTAACTCAAGATGTCCTTGTTTTCAAAGTCGCAAAAAAAAGCGTTAACAGCAATTAAACCCCGATTAATGAAGCACGTGTGGAACCGTTGACAGTAAAATATGCTCGCCGCCGAGAAGTTTACTGATGGCACCTGCTATTTAAAAGGGAAAAAAGGAGTAGCTGCAGCCCCATTATAAATAATGGAGAATTTCTCATCCTCTCGCCCCTCGAGCAAAGAGGGGGGGTTTGTTGGGTGGGCGGGGGGAGAGTGGAGCTTTTTTTTTTTATCTTGTTAATAGAAAGTGCAGGCCTTCGTTAATATGCAGGGGCTATGGTGGCACTTCTCAAGTGAGGAGACAACCTGCAGCTAGACTCCACCATTAATCAACTTCAGACTGCCAGTTGCCTCGGACACCATGATCCATGTTTTTAACTCCAAATGGATGAATATCTTTACCGACTGTCAATAAATGTAGGGAGGAGGGTAAAAATGGTGAAAAAACTCGGAGCGGTTTGGCGAGGAGCAGCGTGATGCCGAAACGAGGGCGGAAGTAGGGTTACTAACAAGAATAATAACTCTGTCATACACAAACAAGGCTTAACATGATCTCGGGCCCTTGGCAGGGAGAGAGGTTTGTGCTACCCATGATAAATCTGACAAAACCTAATTATTTCTGACACGTCGGATGCATCAGGAAATCCCACTGGACTGGAGAGAGAGAGAGAGAGAGAGAGAGAGAGAGAGAGAGAGGAATCCTTATCAACTAGTCTCTGTATTAGGCCATGTCTGGCTGCTCTCTCCTGGGTCGCGCTCATCAATGGCACGGGGAACTTTGAATATGAAAAGAATTTTAAAAGGTACAGATTACTTTAATATTTATAGCAAAATAGATTAATATTCAGATGTGGAAGCGTCTCCTGTACTCAGCTACGTGCGCTGGAAAGAAAGGGGGCGACTACGCCGGACCGCCACAATGATAAATTTCACACCCTCAAGAAATACCTGTGAATGCAAATTAAAAAGTTCTCCTTCCTTTATTAAAGCAATTAATTCAAGCACAATGGCATTTGGTCGTCAGACAATGTAACCTTGAGTAAAGATACGCTCTCGTTGACATGTCCATCGGCCATTACTAGTTATATTTCTTTTTACTAATTTGACAGTTTCACATAATTTTCATAGGTTTATGGAATTCGTTACTGGAATTTCCATTCGTTCTTATCATTTAACAGGCATGTTAGCCATAAAAACATTGATATAATGTTTGCAATCATCTATTTTGTCATTGTAACAAAATGGTGCTATAAAAGACGTTTTTGACTGTAACTGCTCATCACTAAAGTTCTTTCTTGTAGATTTACAACTTTGTTGCAATTTTATACAATTCATCATTTGCATAAATTCACTCTATGCCATTTTTACAATGATAATGGATGCTAAAATGTTCATAGACATCTATTTTGCCATCAAAAAATTGTGTAACTTTCCACCTGCCGCCTTTATATACAAACTGACAGACACTTAAGGGATATTATGTAGCAACAAATAATCAAGCTTTAGTCTTCAAACAACATCATTTTGGGATTTAATGCAATCACCTGTGATTGCATAAGTTTTTGTCATTTTAATTTGTCTTAACCTTCTGCTCATTACTAAAGTTCATTTTCACAGTTTTTCTTTGCCAGAATTTTATGCAGTTTTCGTAACTGTAATTTTTGCCTTTTTGTTTATGTAAATTGTTCATTCTCATCATTTCTCTGCAATCTCAGCCAAAACAATGATGCTACAATCTATTTTGGTATCAAAAAGTAGTACATAGAATGTTCACCTGTGATTAAAAAGATATTTGTCATTGTAATTCACCATGTTTTTATTAGGTCTTATCATTTTACTGACACTAGAGCCATAAAATTGAAGCTATAATGTTAGTAAACATCCATTTTGTCATAATAATGTTTGATAGGGCTATAAAAGAGACCGCTGACCATCAACGCTCACCTAATGTTCCACAGGCCACATTTATCGTACAATAACAAACAGATATACTTAAAGATATTACGGCGAGACAAATGATCCCGGTCGGTCCGACGTTCCACTGGCCATTAAGCTCGACACAGGCCTTTACTCCTAATGTGAAGAAGCATGGCTTACAGCTTTCATTTGCATTAATTATAAATCAGCGGAATGCTTGTGAGGTCGGAAGAGGAAGGAGAGAGGAAGAGAGAAATGATTAGTCCTTGCCGTCCCTTCTCCACTGTATTAAGATGTCAGGATGAGTCATTTTGTGTTTAATGAGAGGCTGGCATGAGAAAATCTGGAGCCGGAGTCTGTGCCAGTCTGTGTGTGTGTTTGTAGACACTGCCACAGCGCTTGAGCAAAGACACTTCCCATGCCCCAAACGATCAGAGACAACTATGACTGCAAACACTACCAATTTCAAGCATGTTTGTGCAAGTGTGTGGGTTTAACAGTGTTTAAAAAGTTTTATTACATGGTTCTCTGGAATGCTTGATTCTGATTGGTCAGTTGCAGCACAGTGATTAAATATTTATATTTATTCTTTATATATATATATATATATATATATATATATATATATATATATATATATATTTTATTTTATTGGTATAGAAAAAAGAAA